CCTAAATTCTTTTTCCTCCCCTTCTCTCTTTTCTCTGTCTATAGGAAGAAAGATGTCACTGCCTCTCTATCACGAACACAGGAAGGGAGACCATTGTCAATGCTGCCATGACGCCACTGTGGTGACCTGAACGACACTGCGACGGTGACGCTCAATGTTGTAGCACCCGCCGCTGCTGCAACGCCGCGATGACGCTGTCACAGAGCAATTTCGCCCTTGCCGCTGCTTCAGTTCGGTGGTACTATAGGTGGGTGCAGGTGGTGGTGGATCTGGCGACAACGGTGAGGTGATTTTGGCTTTGGTTGTTAGATATGATTTGCAGTGGTTTTCATGCCACCACTGTATTGATGGTTAGGTGCTGCGGTGGTGAGGTACTGATGATAGTGGTGAATTTGGTTGGGGTATGGTGGTAGTGTTGTTGGTGATGATGCTGCTTATGGAGGTTTAGGGTGGTTTTTGTTGTTGGGAGTTTTTGTCGGTTGTACAGGTGGAGGTGTGGCGATGGTGGTGTGCTATGTGCGCGGTGGTTGGTTGCAGTGATGGTGCGGTGATGGTGACTGATAATTTTAAATCTGATTTTTTGGTGGGGGTTGGATGGTGGTGGTGGTGACTAATAATATTGACTGTGGTGCTGGTGAGTCGGAGGTGATGCTGAGATGTTTGTGGCGATGGGTATGTCGAGGTGGTGGTAGATCTAGCGCGACGATGTGTATGTCTTTTTCTGCGATGTGTTAAAATGGTGTTGCTAGTGGGGGGTGGTGGTGGATCTTGCGGCGACGGTGGCAATGGTATTGCTGGAGGGAGTGGTGAGGTGGTGGTCACGAGTGTTGGTTGTGGTCACAAATTATTTGATGGATTGTGACCATTAAATTAGTTAATCTGTGACCGATAAACAATATGTGACCAATGAAAAATATAAATTTTGACCAAGAAATAATGCGTGACCTAAAAATTTGTTAATTTGTGATCGATAATTTAACGGTTTGTGATTGTCTACTAAGTTGTGACTTATAATATTTGTGATTTGTGACCGATGAATAAGTTGTGATGTATAAATTTTTTTTGTTTGTGACCAATGAACAAATTGTGATTTATAAAATTTTTGAATTGTGACATATAAAATTTCTGATTTGTGATCGTAAAATAATTTGTGGCTTATAAAATTTTTGATTTGTGACCAATGAACAAATTGTGACATATAAATTTTTTGAATTGTGACCTTAAAATAATATGTGACCAATTATATAGAATTTGTGACCAAATTATATGGAATTGTGACCTTAATATATTTAATTAATAAAATATATGTTTAATTAATTAATTTAAAAGTATCTGAAATTTTAAATTTTAAACTTAAGTTCTTAAATTTGAAATTGGTAAAACTAAACCTCTTAGTTATGTATTGTTCCCAATATTTTATGGGGCAATTACATCCACCGATATTTTTCAACTTCACAATTCAAGAATAATATTTTTATTCAAAAATTAGTTGATAGTTCAAAATTTTAATATTAGTAATTATATTATAAAATTAAATTAATATACATATACAACCACCCAACCCAACCACCCACCCAAAACCCTAATCATGTTCTTATTCTTTTCTCTCTCTCCATCCTATACCTTGTCTCTTGTCTCTTCCATCTCTTTATCCCAACTATTGAAATTTTTTGTCGGAGTCCATCGTAGATGTCGTCGCTATAATGACGCGTTGCCGTTGAGCACAGCAACTGCTGTGCATTATGCGCAGAGCGGTTTGAGCACCGCTGTTACAGAGGCGAATGAAGGGGGATCTGGGAAAAAATTGTTCGTGATCTAGTGCTAGAGTTTTTGGGGTAAGTTTTGTTGGATGTATGCAGTAGGTAGTGACGGTGCAAGCTGTGGTGGTGGTGGTGGCGATGCTCTGAGGTGTTGGTTATGTTGGCGGTGTTGGTTATTTTTTGGAGTGGGTTTTATTGGTTGTTATCGCAATTGGTGGTGGTGGTGGTGGTGTTGATCGTGGATGTGGATGTGGTGGTGGTGGTGGTTGTCATGGCGGTGAGGTGGGGTAGGGTCGGTGGGGTGGAAAGAAAAGTGTTTGTAACCAATTATTTGATTAATTGTAATCAATAAATAATATGTGGTCAATAAAATAGATAATTTATAACCAATAAATAATATATGACTTAGAAAATATGAGATTCCTACTAAATTTGTGATTGTGACTCACAATTTGTTAAGTTGTGAGTAATAAATTTAATATTTTTTTATCGAAAAATAACTTTTGACCAATTAATTTGATAATTTCTGATTGTGAAATAAGTTGTGATTTATAAATTTTGTAACTTGTGACCAAAAACTAATATGTGACATACTAATTTGATAATTTGTGATCGATAAATAAATTGTGACCTATAAAATTTGTGATTTGTGGTCGAAAAATAATACATGACTTATTAATTTGATAAATTGTGACCAATGAACCTCAGGCTAGGCATGATGGAAATCAGGAAAATCAAGACAGTGTTGTTCAAGAGATGAGGGTGGTAAAAATAAAGGTAGAAGATAGGATAGGTCTAAGTCGGGAACGAATGGTAAGCGGTGTTATAGTTGCGATAATTCGAAACATTTTATAAGTGACTGTCCTAAAAAGAAAAGTAAGCAGAAAGAAAAGGTGAGGAACCCGAGTGTGGTTTATGTTACATTTCATTATATTTGGTGTGTACATTTGCATGAATTTGAGAGTGGTCATATTACTGTGTACCGTACTAGCATATATAGTGGTTGGAATTGCTATTGTGAGATTTGACACTGAGCGTATTCTCACTTTTGTGAGTGCATTGGCAATAAGTGTGTCAACTGGTAATATGGTGTATTATAGATACTTGAAGGTTCATTGATTTCATGTACGAGGGTTGTAGAGAAATAAAATTTGGATCACAAGAGATGAGGTGATTACATATTTTGAAATCATCTATCTGTGAGAATCCTGATAGGATGAGTGAGAGAGCGACACTCCTATCACCTTTATTAGGTGAATACCTGTTATTTAACTTGTTTGAGAGAATTGAGGTGGTGATAGAAGAACATCCCATTGACTCGGGATCTTTAGTAGTTTACCGGTTAGGCATGAGGTCACTGATTAGATCACTCGAATCAAGGCAATGAGAGGAGAGATATGTTCTCTAGATATGAGCTACACGGAATGAGGTGGGGTTATTATGGTGAGATCTTTTTTTCAGGTCATTTATGCATTGATTGTATATATTGACCATTTATTTGATTAACTTTGTGTAAATTTGATGTTCTCTATATGTTGAACATGTTGAAAAAGTCTATTCATTATCCTATGGTGTGTTTTCATAGCATATTTTATAACTGTGTTATTTTGTGCTCTTGATTGATCACTATATATATCTGATTGTACTATGGTTTTGACCATAGACCTTGGTGAGTACATGGAGCAAATATGTATGTGTTTCGGGTTCGAGACACTAGTAAAGTCTGTGATTTCTAATTTTATTTGGTTACTTTGATTCAATAAGTATTAACTTGATGTTATTTGCTTACAAGTTCATTAGGTATCAAAGTGGAGATTTGTTAGTTTTGTTGATACCAAATAAGTCTAGGCAATGATGTTGAATGATTGGATTGATTTTATAGGCTTCGGTCGAGAACTGAAATGTTTATCAATACCACAATTAATTGACTCGACCCGAAAATAAATTGGATCATTGGAAGCAACATTATAATTAATAGTTGTTTATGGCCCGTTCACTAGTTGGACGACCTTTTTATTTGTTAACCCAGTTCACTTGGTTTTGGCGCATCCTATGTTAGCCCTATCACTATATATACATCTATTGGCTTGTTGAAAGAAAGTAGTGTGATGCAATTGAGATTGAGAGGCAGCCATTTGAACTCCATTTTCTTCGTGAAAGTCGTGGCCTAAATTGCTACATTTCTTCTTCTTTGTGACATATTGCAGCCGCCATTTTCTCCCTTTACTCCAATTAAATAATGTTGTGTAGCCCTACTGGGATTACAACCCCAGTCTTTGTAACCCTAGGGGGGTTACATGGCATTACTCTATTCAATTGGGCAACCATAATGATCCTTTGTGGGTTGAACAATCAATTGTTGGAGTATTTGATATTGCTTTAAGAAATTGAGCCCCGTTCTCGAACACAATCAATGATCTTGGAAATTAATTTTATCACAATTCTCAATTTCTATCAATCATTTCTCACGTGCCTAACACGTGTCTTTTTGTGTCCAGAAAACCTGTGGGGTTGAAATATCACGCCAAAAGTTAAAACGTTGGGCACATATGATGAAGGCACATAAGGAAGGTTGGGAGTCAGAGGAATTTAGCTATTTTATTTCATTTTTAGGAAAATATTGCAAGTTTCAACTGAAATCATTACTATGATTCAAATGCATCTTTAAAATTTGGCGTTCCATTATTGATGATCCTACGTAATGAGTCGAATTTTCTATTGTAAAGCATTACCGAACAAATGCTTGATTTGCCTAGTCCTTGTGACCTAACAGGTATTTTGGTTAACATGTGTTACATTCAACCAACTAACGAACTAAATTTAGTTTATATGTGATGAAGTAATTTACAATGTTCTTAGAGTTAGTACTGATCTTAAATGGAAACGTTAGAGAAAATTATCATTATAAGAGCATGTTTGAGAGTAATTATAATCTAATTAAAATTGAAAATGTAGTCGTTATTGGATCTCGCTCGTCTAATAAAAGTCAACAATAACAGCTAGTTTTTCAATTTTAATATAATTTTAATCTCTACCGAACACACCCTAAGTTTACGAAAGAATGCACCATTAGATCAAACAAAACAGCATGTTGAATCCACCTAAACGTAAAATTTCTACCAAAGTAAGCTAGTACAAAATTGACACCTTCGTGATATTTTTCCTTCACTATATTTCAATAGGTGTGGAGAGAAGCAAAATAGGATGAAAACCGTAAAGCCAAAATATTCAGATGAATGATTATGTCCTTTTCATGAGGTACCCCAAAACAGCGCCCAGCAAACCAATTATGATAACGAACATGATGGAGACTCCACCTCCGGTTTTGCTGTTATCACGCCTCAAGAGTAACTACGCAATGCAAGGATATAGAAATAAGCAGTTACCAGAAACGAAACATAACAAACCGATAGAGCAACTCATACGAAATTATGGATTATGTTAGAATATATCGAAAATGTGTATCCCTCACCAATTCTTGACGAAGTTTGGCACCCTGTTGAATTGCAGCAGCTTTTTCTTCGGTCAATTTTGAAATAAGTGAGCGTACCTGAGAATTAGAATACAGATCCAAATAGGCCATCACAGCAGTAAGTCCCAGTGTTGACAACAACAGATAGCAAACATATGCAAACTGATAGACCTGGTGAAATTGTGAGAATAATCCAAACACTGAGCTTCTGAAAAGTTAACAGAGACTAGTGAATGGTGCAAGAGCAACTGTGTAAAGCGGTTTCTAGAAAGGGTGCACCGAGGCACGAAACTGGGCTTTGATGCCTAGCCACGCTTTACACTTTTTAGAAGACTAATGTAAAGTACTAGAGAACAAGAGTGCAGATGGAAGAAATGTGGAGACGAATGCACGTGTTGCGCCGATCACATTAACCAGGTACTGGAAGATACAAATGAAAGACAGGATTTCATCTTCCTGCAGGGAGTCTAGTGCCTTGGTTCCACCACTGGATTATTTACCACACTCTCTCCATCTATTTAGTGCTCATTTTATAGTACTTTCAAGAGCTTAAAAGTTGTGGGTCATACATTAATAAGTAGAAAGTAAGTTGTGAGTCCTACAAAATGTACGGATAAAAAGTACATTTGACTAATTTAAGCTTTGCCATACATGATCTTATTCGGTTTTGGGTAAACTGTTGGTGTAAAGGTATTAGCATCCCCATTTTCTGTCTTTATTCAAGCGGCAAGTAATGGATGTGACTAATGCATACGTGAAAACTTATTTTCTAGTCCAGACACAAATCAACTATAGCCCAGCCCAACATTAGATTAGTTTACCTATGCTATACCACCCTAATGCCCAATTGCACATTTAGCCCATTCCCAGTTAGCCCAATATAATAAATTCAATTTCTAATTTCAACCGCCAAAATTCAACCTAAGTTCAATTTCTAATTTCATCAGCCCAAATTCCCAGCCCTTTTTCGGTGAACCTAAATTATTGTATATAAGTTCAATGTGTAGTAATTTGATGGGTGATTTTTTTTAAAGTAATTATAACATCTTTTATTAAATGAAAAATGAAGAGAACATAGGTACTTTGCTTGAGCCTCGACGCTTTTTTAGTAGGTAATGTCACATAATGACTTTTTTCAATAATATATGAATTTTATTCATATAACAACATTTTAAAAATATCCAGCCCCCTCAAAGTGAATTCTTCGCTATGCCCATCAATAGTATGCAATTTGGGAAGTATGCATAAATGTCACAACATGTTGCCTCTCATGTATAAAGCCAATGGCAAGAGAGTCTGAAAATCTTTCCATCAGAAATTCTGTGGCATTTGTGATTGTGTGCTAAATTCAAAGAGGACACCATAGATCTCAATTATAATTTTCATGAAACACACAAATTGGCACAAACCAAAATTCCCTTTACTTCATTTTTCCTAGGTTTTTGAGAAAGAAGTCGTTTTCATAATAATAATTTTTAAAAAAAAATTATGAAGTTCCATGCTCATCTGCAGTGTTTCTACATTCAAAAGTAAAATAATAATAGTAAGTTATGGTCCTACGAAATGCATGGTTAAGCTTTGACAAACATGCTCGAAGTAAGAGATAGTGCCACCTTTTGAATAGTGACTAAAACCATAGTAAATCAATCCAAAAGGTGCAAAGATTAAATCAAGAACAGGAAATAGTGTTGTGGATCCTCTGCCCCCCATGCCAGTGCAAATTTTAGTTTTCAAATACATATTTCTCCTTAAAGAAAAAAGGTTAGAGGATAGACAGATCCTAGTATAAGATATCTCTAATTCATAATTATCACCTCTTGAATTTCAGTCCACAACCTTTTCTCAAGGTTCTTTTTCGCTATTAAGTGCATATAATTGATGAAAACGGGAGAAACGATACTGGCAGGAGCCATTTTTTGTTTTGAAATTACAAAAGCATTAAATATCAGTAATGGATACCTCCTAAACAAAAATAAACCAATACAAAAGGAATATTTAAATTTATACATGAAATAACCATAAAAGGTACACACATTTGAGAATGTATAGTTACAGGAGAGAAGGTACTCACCTCAGGTGAATTTTCGTGACTATCAACAAACATTCTAGTAACCTGCAGACACCAAACAAAAACTGGGCTACAATGAACAGAAGTTGCTAGAAAATATGTCGTGCATGCAAGAATCAAAATGAGATGTTGAAAATAACGAGTCCAAAACCATAATAATTTCAACCTCACTGCCATTCAGATTGCCATTCTCCATAGCAGTCGTCTTTGGTGAAGAACCCTCATCGGATCCCTCTGCAACTGGAGATGGTGGTCGAGGTGGGGAAACATAAAGCACTCTCAACTTGCACTCTTCAACAACACGTCCTTCCTCCTTAGTAAACTACAATGAAAGAAAAGTCACACTTCCTTAAATTTTATTTCTTCATAAAAGTAATGTGCAATGTCATTGCTTGTTGTCGATCAAGACTTTGCTGGTGATCCAATAGTAAAATTAGTAAGCTAGAATGGACAATATGACAACCCTTGTGTACTTTGGCAAACTCGGCAAAATAAATCAAATAATTGATCAGAGTACCATTTCTGGAGTAATGTCTTTTGGTGTTGCACCGGGACTTGCAACTACACTCTGAAGCAAAAACTTGTCCTTGCATTGCAAGTCAGAAGGAGGCTCCTTCTGTGCTTGCATTGTCACTGTGATTGAAGACGCAGAGTTTTAAGCTAAGTAGAAAACTAAATGAAGAACAAACTTTTGAATATATCAGCAAACAAAATATTCGATTTTTGTTACAAAATTGGAAGAAGAGAGGATAGATAAGAAAAAATTTCTCAACCTTTGTCATATATTGTAAGAACCACCTAAAAAAAAAATACAAAATTGTAATGCTTAAAAAGGATTATGTCCTGAAAAAAGAAGAAAAGATATGAAAATCACATTAGGCTTTCATGGAGTTGCAGTTAAAGGGTAAAGCAAGCATACAGCCATCGAAGTCCCTTTTTCCAAGACTCAAATTTCTATTTCCAAATGAGTAAAGCTCTTAATCCAGAGTCGATTAAGTAATTGATACATCTTAAATGGGACCCATCTAAATATTTAAAAGGTCCAATTACTTAATACCACTTAATTGACAACTAGACTAATGACCATCGAGGGATAGCATTGTTTTTTTCAAATGCCAAAGTTTTGATTTCATTTCTGCAGTTGGAGCAATAATTAATTTTTCAAAATGAAGCTGACACCTTTATTTTTGAAGATCCAAAATTCTCCAACTATTTCGAAAAAAATAATTTGGAATACTATCTAGCGGTGTTCAATACGTCCCCGTTTGATAGGGGTGAAAATCTAGATTTTAGTACAAGTCAAAGTATACAATTAATTTTAACAGCATATTTCGTGAACCCCCGAAATTTTTTTTTTAACTAAGAGGATTGAAAACGGCGATTTTGAGTACCAAAATAGACAAGTTAGATTGACTGACCAAAAAGACAATCAGTTTGTCGATACAAAAATAATATGTACATCTATATGTCTAATGATATACAAATTAAAAATATAAACGTTAGATGGACATCAAAAAGACAAAAAGTAAACTATCTATCTATATAACATATGGTAGAGATCGATGGCTTGGACTTGTAAAATTGGTCTCTCATTGTCATCATCGCTTCAAACTCGTTAATAAGAGAATCTAATGTAAAAGTATCAACAATCTCATTTTCTATATACACTAGCATGGTACTGGACAAAAAATCATCTTCCATTCTATTACGCAACTTTGTCTTAATGACACTCATAACTGAAAATGCACGTTCTGTAGTTGCTTTTGGGTAATTGATTCATAAATGGGTTCTTTACTTTTGGATTGGATTTGGGTTATTTATTTATTTAAGTAACTATTAGATCTTTTATTTAGGTCTAAGATTTTTGTATGGTTGAATTTTAAAATGTAAGTTATTGGATCAATATTTATTAATGGAAAAAAAAATTCAAAATTTTGTGTGGGCGAAACTGAAAAATACATTACAAATTAACTACGAATAGTGGACCAGCAGACAATGTTGTGGGGACAACCACCCACCACCTTTCAACAATGCAGTTCATCAACTTTTATCGGAATCTTCTAAAAATCTGATTTTAATCTTCCCTAATTCTTTGAAACAAAAAAAAAAAAATAATCAATAACATACCAGTGATATCACATGTTGATCGAGGCAAAACAATTCCAGTGTTCGGTCGGACGCAATATTTCTTCGGATTCGTAGTCTTCACCTAATAAATAGAAATTCAATCAAAAGGAGAAAATTAAATACAACAATGTCACAAAAAAAAAAAAAGCCAAAAAACCAAAAAGCCAAAAAGAAAAATTGCCTTGAAAGCTACATGATTTTCAGTCTTATTCGATACTTGGAGAGAACATGAGATCTGCTTCTTCAGCTCAACTAATCAACACCAAAAAAAAATATACATAGATCAAAAATGGGAAAATCAACAAACCCAATTTTTTTTAAAAAAATGGAGAAACTGAAAATGGGATTTGAGGAGAAGAACCCACAAGCGAATTTGAGTTCTAAAGGTTCAATGCTGAGAAGCTCTGCGGTACTCATTTTCACCAAAAATTAAACGAGAAATTGAAAACAAAACTGAATAGAAATAAAACGAAATAAAATGCAGTCTTTGAAGAAACAGTTACTGAATTTTTTGTGGAAAAATTGGGGGTGATCCGGAATTATCTGAATGGGGAGGGAAATACACAAAACCGTCCAAGGTAGGCTTTTTATTTCAATTTTCAAAGCATGTGTTTTATTCCTATTTTTATCCTTTCCTCGGAGTTGGAAAACTATTGTGCACGTGACAATTTCGAAACGTCCAACGTTGTAATTGGGTAAAATTAATCAATGGTTACTAGGTTTCAAGGAAAATTCGTGTTTTCTCGAGTGCAACTGTGCAATTTTATTTATTAGAGGTATGTTCGCGCCTTTCAACTTGTTACGTCATATTTTCGTTTATTAGATTTTTCGTCAACAATTTGGAACTGTTTTCTTAACAAACGGTGGATTGCAATTAATTGAAAGTTGGATGAGTGTTGAGTAAGATGTTAAAGTTTGATGGTAAGTAGAAACTTGATGAAAGAAAGTGTATTTATGGATTTTACTATGTTGTAAACCACCCAATCATACCATGTGACGTCGGCCCACCGATTAAAGTTTAAGTAAAATTTCAAATTGGTTGTTAACGTATTTTTGTGATCCACTCTATCATTAAAGTAAAATATTATTACATAATTACTCAATTAGTTAGCCTAGTTATTGGTCAGGTCTTGGGTTTGCTCCCCAATTGTCACCAGTTCGTGTCCCCCAATGTCACTGAGGTGAGTATCCGACCGTAAACTTCAGGGTCCCGTGGAATTAGTCGAGGTGCGCGCAAATTGGCCCGAATATCCACGATTATCAAAAAAAAGAAAATTAGTTAGCCTGGTTAACATTGTATTTTGTCACTATAGTAATAGCTGTTAAATTTTTACGCTGGCTAATAATCGTTATAACGATTGATTCCTTCTAGTTGGATTCATATTTTAGGTCTATCGCAGCCCTTTTACTATGATGGCAGTTCAAGCATCGAAATAATATACAACACACAACCCAATTTCATTAAATTTGGAAATATGTGAAGATCGAAGATTCATTGTGTTACCATATGTTACTTTCTATTTAAAAATTCATTGTTTCGTGGGTAACATTTTGTGTTATTATATATATTTTTATTATTATAAAATTCCACGTTTTATGTAGGTAACAACATGTTACCTTATGTTACCCCTTCTTTGTTCAACTAACACAATCTACAAAAGAACCATCATTCTGGGATCAATACCTTCAACAGTTCTCCTCTTTCGACTCAATGACCTACCTATTTTCACCCAAAAAAAAATGTTACTTGTGGGAAAAACAAGTGTTACCTAGTTATTGTAGTCTCATACCCATAACATCATTTCACACTATCAACCCCAGTGGCGGACCTAGCCTTGAAAC